TAGTACCGTAGTACTGTGTACTCAAATTAAAGGTGGACTTAAATCATGTTTCTGTCGAGGGGAGGGGGAAGAGGGGGAGCGAGAGGTAAAGGAGGAGGAGGGAGAGGGAGAGGAGGGGGAGGTCAGGAGGATTAACAACAGTTTAGAGAACAAATGGAAAAATTCGGAAAACTCGTCGGGAAGTTGGAGGAGACACGGCGAAGACAGCTGGACCGGGTGTTGATCCCATTGTCTTGGCTGCCGGTCGATGCACTTTAACGTGTCACCCCCCCCCCCCCCCCCACACACACCAGCGCGGGGCCCGTTGATTTAATGGCCGAATAAGCGCTGATGTGACGGCGATAACGCAGCAGCTGTCAGCGAGATATCGGATCCGCTGCTGACTCCAAGTCCACAAGTAGACACTTGATTAAACACTGGCGGGAAGATTACGTTACCGACACACACACACGCAGTCACCTTCAGACGGGGAGCCGAGACTTTAGACGTCCATTAAAGCCCGAGGATTAGAGGCCCGTGATCGGCTTCTCCCCCGGGAAGCGAGATCACCGACATCAGCAGAATCCCGAACGCAACGTTTCGATTCACCTGTTATAAATAAACCAGTGTAACACAGCTGCTGGTGTTTGTATAAGTCTACCATGTACAAGTGTGTCGAAATTCGCGATGACGTCATCTGACGGCGCAACGAAAAACGGAAAGACGTTTCTCCTGCCCGGGTTTGACAGCTAGCACCAGCACGCGGCGTCCGATCAAATGATCGATGTTGCTTCAAACGGATCCTAAAGACGTCATTGTCCAACGCATCGCTACCTTCCTACGGACTCCGGGATTATTCCGTTTGTTCTATCAGCTGTTGATAATCCTTACCGCCTCGCATGACTTCCCCCGGCAACTATGGAGCGGTTTCTCTGTCCTCTGGTTTCTACGATCTGCCGACACCTGCTCCTCGTTGTCGTTGGGGAACACATACAGTTGGGCTTTTTTGCAGCCCGATGTTCGCGGATGTTCCCGCGCAATTGAAGCTACTGTTAGGCGCCACCTGGTGTACGATCAATAAAACATCAATGTATAATATGTAATCAGCGTTAAACTAAGAATGTCCGATATTAACATTTTGCCGATTTCCAATTCTCCAAACACTTAATTTTCCGATTCCGATATCAACTGATACTGATATAGGGGGCAGTGGTGGCCTGGTGGTAAAGGAAGTTAACCACACACCCCCTAGGGGACAGAAGTTTTCTCGATAATATCGGTTGGTTAAACTAGCGCTAAAGTTAATTTTCTCAGCCTTCAGTGTCGCCCCCTGGTGGTTGTATCTGAGGTGTCCAGGCTTTGGTCATGCATGGAGACTGTTGACCGTAGACTGGGAGTAAACCGCATTCAATTTTCCTCCCGTGTGTCGACAGGTTACGGGGGGAGTGGCTGGTGCGTTTGGAGAACCGCAACAAACACCTGAAGAACCTCAACGACAACTACGTCAGGAAGGTGAAGTCGGAGGAGACCAGCGATCAGACATGAGCGGACGCAGGAGCAGGACAATAGTTTTATCATCTCCACCTCTGACCACAGATCCATGAGTCTTTTTTTGTTTTTGTTTTTTTGTTTATTTCCTTGGTGATAAAACGTCTGTGACTGTGGCCAATGATTGAGAAACCACGGGCTCGTGACTACGGGTTCACGTGGTGACACGATGACGACATTAAAGCTGTGACATGTGATCTGTGATGTGATCTGACCTGTTAGCATCTGTCGTTTTCTTCAGGCTAATGGTTGTGTTTTTTTGCATTTCTTTGTTAAATTTAAACAATTTCTTTGGTAAAAAAAACCCACAAAAAAGAGTCACAGAGACTGAAGCCTTTATTTAATGTAGAGTTTTATTTATTTATTCACAATCGTCAGTTTCCTCCTAGCATCAGCTAAGCTAAGCTATCCCTTGCTTTGTTTAAAGTCCCTAAGCATCTTCTAAAGTGCATTACTGACTGAAATAGTATATTTCGATAACATTTAGTAGCATTCTGGTCCTTACAAAAGAAAGAGAAAATGAAGAATTACCGTAAGTAGATTTTCGCGGCCAGTCGAAAGTCGCTTTTAAAGGAGAAACAAACTACGTGGAACGTGTATAATCCATTTTCTTCCCTTCATTTTAACATTAAAGCTGAGACTTTCCCTGAATCTTAGGCTTATTGCTGTGTTTATAGTTAAATTAAATAAAATCCAACTGCGAAATAAATTAACACTTGGAATAAACCGCTCGTTATTTACATCAAACCGTTAATGAGCTGGTCTCACGGCGAGTCCGTGTTACTCTGCTGCCATCGTGTGGTCAGTACAAGCTATGCAGCGGTACAATCGAAGTGTTTTTGGTCTTTTCCAGAAGCTTTTCTCTTAGCGCTCCTTTCTGGAGTTCCCGCCACACATACCGCGGGTTCTCCACGGGTGGAGGTTCTTCTATCGGCGGCCTCTCCAGCTTCTCTCCGTCTTCGTTGCGTTGGACGTGGTCGGGCACGAGCACCACCAGCGTGTTGAAACAAACGCCGTCCGTCCTCCCGTGCTGCCGCCCGTTGTGCTGCAGGCTGAAGATACCCACAGTGTTGACGTCGTAGTCGTAGTACGACGACGGCATGGCCTCCTGCACCACCGTGTTCGCTGCCCACGTCACCGCGTGGGTCTTTACCGCCGCCGCTGTGGGAAGGTGGAGCACCGGAGCTGTGGGGCAACAAAAGTTGGCGCTGGGTTCTAGTTTTGTGTGTTTCAGGAGACAAATTTAGACGTATCGGTAAAATAAGTGTCAACAAAAAAAGTGACGTAGTTAAAGTCGCGATGTCACGACGTGAGATGAGAACGCATCTTTCTCGTAGCTAATGATGCGTTCGAGTGCGTTTTGTACCTTTGATGAGTAGAATCCAAATCTGGTTCCGATAGTTGGTGAAGACCAGGACCATTCTCTGCACCACGTGACGGGAACTCAAATCAACAGGAAGAGTAGCGGGATGCCAGGGAGCCTGAAGGTACCTGAACGTCACACAACAGAGTGGATTTACTGACGGTTTTGACAACCACACATAAAAAAATAGGGATGTCCGATAATATCGGTCGGTGATATTATTGACCCGATATTAGCATAATTATGTAACATCGGTAAGAATCGTTATTGATTTTTCGTTCGATAATTAAAACGGTTCCTGAGACATTTAGCTCGTTTAGCTAGTTTTGGGGGCAAACGGCAGCATATATCGGTAAAGGTTGATATCGGAAGTTTTCGAACAACATCGGCATATCCGATATCGCCGAAAACTTAATATCGGACGTCCCGATCGAAAAAGCAACCACCCCTGAACGCCTCATACTTGAGTCCGTTGTCGATGAGACTGAGGATGTCCCGTCCCCTCAGAGGGAGGACGGAGTGTCTGTCCCACCAGGACGCCTGCAGAGACTCCTGGTCTGCCGTCGACAGCGTTTTTATTTCCCCGCCTGAGACACAGAGAGGGCTTTGCTGTAAATATGGAACCTTTTTTAATTTTTTTTTAAGAGAAACAGTTGAAGGACAAGAACACGCTCCATGTCAGAGACCTCTCACCGGTGACTTTGGCTAAGAAGATGAAGCGAATCCACTGCGGTCCCTGCTCCTGAATCAGCATCAATGTGATTGGTTCGCAGTCGAAACCAGCTTCTTCCTTCACCTTCGTGAAACAAAATGAAAATACCGTGAACTGTGTCTCACTTTTTTTTGGTTAAAGCTAACATATGTTATTGTTTTGGTTTTGTTGTCAGAAAAAAAACAGACAAATGAATACCCCCGGGGGTCTTACCTCCCTCCTCAGTGCATCCTCCAGACTCTCCCCCACCTCCACCCGCCCGGCAGGAAGGTACCACTGTTTGTAACAATCTGGCTTCGCCTCCTGCACCATCAGCACCTCCTCCTGGTTCCATTCAAACGTACACATACAAAATATAACAACAATCACTTTTTTTTTTTTCTAAATGTTGACAGGGTCCGAGGTCTGACCTTCTCGTTAAAGATGACGGCACAGACAATGTAGGTGACGTTCTTCTTCAGAGTTGCTGGTTTGCTTTGGTCCAGGCCTACGTCACATCCGGAGACCTCCAACCCTTGGCCGTTCAGCACCCGCTCCACCTGCTCCTCCAGTCGCTGCCACTCCTCCCCGTTCACCTCCATGACAACGGTCGAAAGAGCTTCTGTGTTCCGTTACATGGGGAGAATACTTCAAAATTACGTAGAACTAGCTAAACAAATCAGAATTCGACTCTATACCCAATTCTTTAAATATATTTAATTTTAAAAATGATTCTAAATCGAATTTTACTTAATTATTATCACTGTTATGCTATTATTTTATCTTAAATGTATTTAAATTTATATCGTGAGCCAATATAGCATATCAGATGGAATCGCTTATATATTTAATTTGCGTATTCACACATCCATGTAAAGTATTTAATGTTATGTGACGTCACGTGAGCGAAAACAAGCTGTTTTTCTACAATTAACATTTTTATTGTTTTTTGCTAGTGTTTCTGTTTTAATCATGAACACGTCACAGCTAAAATCCCATCATGAGCAAAACTTAGCTTAAGGACTAAGAGCAGCTAAGATTAACAGGAAGTGGAAATGTTACCCTTTTTCCCTTCATATAATTTAAAAAATATATTTTACTGTTAATAATGTATTAAAATAACATTAATTAGTTAAACAGACAGACCTTTTTGGTTTTACTTGTTCTTCATCGCCGCACTGCCGCTGTTGATATTTTGACATTTGATAGCGTTAGCTAAACAGGAAATTCCCGACAACATCCGGTTTAGGACTATCCAAATAAGACATTTAATATACACGTATAATTAATTTAATAGTAAACAGTGGTGCGGTACACCGTTTTAGTTACGTATATTTTTTATAAATATATATCACCAAAATATTTATCAAAATATCACGTTGACCGATTACATTTGAACGTAATTCTTCCGTCAGGAATTTATTGAGAAGTCCGTCGACGGAAGTCTCGTGTTTCGTACGGAAGTGACGTAACGTTTGCTAAGGTCACGAGTAGGATAATTCACTGTGCTAAAGCAGGTACGGTTTTGAACAAATAACAGTACTTAAAGTACTTTAAAAACAATTATAAATACACGTTTAAAGATAAATACGTAAACTCATAAACCCGTTAATTAATACGCTATTATCTGTAAAGTAAGCGATTAGCTTAGTGTTATCTCATTAGAATATAGTATTGAAACTTAACGTCAATATTCAACGCAGCACTCTTTAAACCGGCGTGTATACCATAAAATAGTGTACTTACAAAGGAATACTTTGTTGAAGTTGTAGCCATATTGTTGTATCTGTAATGTTTCATCTTAAACGTGTGTGTGTTTGTCGTATTTTACATAGATTGATTTCCCCAAAACCCTCCGGTTCGGAATCTTCTTCTCATCAACTTCACATCTCAGATGGCATCGTCAGACACGAGAGGACAGTAGTACAGTAGTACTACAGTGGATGTTACCCTGACTTTCCGCTCATCTCTGCGGTCGGACCATGCGTCACAGTAAGCTGCAGAAACAGGTCCTGGCTCTGTACCGACAGTTCCTCCAGGCCGGACGCGAGAAGCCAGGCTTTGTGCCTCGGATTCGGGAGGAGTTCAGGGTCAATGCCCGCATCAAAAGAACAGACGTGATGCACATTGAATATCTGTACCGACGAGGACAGAGGCAACTGGAGCAGCTGAGAGATGTCAACACCAAACAGCTGGGATCCTTCTCAAAACCTACGGAGAATAGCTGATTTTTTTTTTTTTTTTTTTATTTCATCTACCTCCTGCAGCAATAAAGTGTTTCGGTTCAGTGAGACAAACAAAAGACGATGCCCGGAAAGTGTAATGTGATTATGTTTTTGATCATGTATTATTATTATTATTATATATTACACCTATATATTACACATATTTTTTGAGCTAAAATTGTTCATGATTACTGCCAAATAGATTGACTCTGTGTTGTTGTGAATAAATCTGCTTCACTTTGCCTGTTTGGTTTGTTATTTCTCATTACTAATTTCCACGTGTATTTGTAATGTAGAGATTTAAAAAAAATAGAATTAGAATTACCAATAAATATGGGTTTTTGTCGTGAAGTGGGCTGAATAAGAACATACAATTGACTTGTTAAAAAAAGAAAACAGTCGCCGCTGTACTTCCTAGCTCTGACCGCTAGGTGCAGCAGCGGTTTAAACAGAACACAAAGGAAGAAGAGAAGTAAACAGGAAGTGGGAGTTTCTCTCGGTCTTTAACCTTTTATCGTTCTACTTCTCGCTGTGTTTTGCTTTATTTCCTCGTTAATCCACTGGTTTTAACCAGTATTTGTGGATCCAGGTGAATGTTTTAGGTTTTATTTTGAGTCGTTTTCGTCGACCGTGTCGAGTGCTTTAACTGAGAAAATGTTCTGTTTTTTTTCCAGTTATGTCGAGCTCGGAGAGAATGACGAACGCCCAGTTATTACAACAGGTACATTTGTCATAACTTAAAAATTCACTTGGTTTTATTTTTTTGCGAACAAACTGTTCGTAAGGCACTTTTTTATTTTTATAAAATCCATAAGATACGTCACCTCGTAACATTTTTGGTAGCTATGAGGTAATAACTATTACCATTAGGATAATTGTTTTTTGTTGTTGTTTTTTAATTTGCGGACTAAACTGAGTTGAGAAGCAGATTCGTTATTCTGTCTCGTTTTCCCAACTTTTCAACTCTTTAGCATTTATGAATTATTTACTACCTTCCTACGTGAAAAGTATGGACAGGAAAGGAAAATTAGCATGAAGAATTTCGTAACATCACTACGTATTAACCATATTATTTGACAGTATTATTATTATTTACACATCCAGTATTTTCCTTCTGCTTCTTACATCATACAATTCCATAAAATGTACATTTTAATTTGCTGCTTTTCACAATGTCCACATCCTTTCTTCAGGTGGCGCTTTTGCGCTGGCTGTCATCACAGAGCGACGAGGACCGCGGGTTGCTGACAGCTTTGACAGGGATTCAGGTCGGCAAAGAGCTCTTTAACCGAATCACTGGCCAGGACAAAGTAGACGCCTTCAAGGTGCGGTTCCTCGGCCTCACAGGTTGTACGGCAACGTGTGAGTTGCTGCCTTGTATTTTATTTATGTGTGTTTCTGTTTTGCAGAGGGAGTGTATCCTTGGAATCTCAGAGTTCGTCCGTCAGAACAAGCGAGCGACCAAAGCGGAGATAAACGCCGAGGTGGAGAAGAGAGTGCTGATTTTTGCAGCTCAGGTCAAAGCTCTGGAAGAGACGCCGTTATTCTGAAATAATTTTAGTCAATTTTGTTTCTCTGTGGAAACAAACAATGAGGCATTTCTACTCCATGGAACAGTTTGAAGAAGACAACAGCTCCAAATTTGCAGCTGTCATTATAGGTTGTCATATAGTTCCAGAGTCTGAAGTCTGTAATTTCCTCAAGGACTTCTTGACCAGGACCAGAAAACGAAGAGTGTTCGCCAAGTGCATACGATACAACGTCAAAAATTGAACTGCTTGTTATTCAGACCATGCACGAAACCCAAATATACTATGAAGAATTCACATAATTTTTTAATATACATCATATTTCAATGGTAAAAAAAGACAATTTAAAAGTAACAACTTATCCAATTTTACCAGTTTTTTTATCCTTAACTGCGTACAAAATATATTGTGTCACTCTAAGAGGAAATCATAATTAAGTAGCGTTTTCTCAATAAAGTAGCTGTGTTGTTTTTTTATGTATCAATGCAAAATGTTTTACTGTAAATGACTGATTAAAAATTTTGTCAAATAAATACCATGCCTTGACGTCAACCATTTATTCTTTCAATAAAGTTACTACATTAAGATTGAGTGTAGTACACGTTAGTAAAATAGATACAGTACCAGGAATGTCGAGAAACTACGATGTCCGATTTAATTTGTTTACAATACCAGAACGTCGACTATTTTCTCGAGATTTGTATTACTGTTTTAACTCATATTTTATATTTATTTTATATACTTACGTGTTCATAATCTCTCTTGTTTTATATTTCTCATTCTTCATGTTTCTGGAAGTGTAGCTTGACCTATTTCCGGTTCCGCTGTCCCTCCGACGCTGCTCATTGGTTGAATCCATACTGCTCCCCGCCTTTTTATAAATCCTGTTTTCGATTGGATAGCCTCCTCGTGACGTCAACCCGAACCTTCCTCTGTTTCTGCCTGTAAAGAATTGGCGGGGATAAAGTTGGATTCGAACAAAACGCGCACGCAGGGAAATATATCAATGCGAAAAAAGATATAAGCCAAAAGTTGGAGTACCAGGAACAACACCACTTTCTCCACGCGGTTTTTTCCCTCCCACACGCTCACCAGCATGGATGTTTCCCAACATGAAGACCAGGTTACGGAGATTTCCGAGAAGCTGGAAAAGTAAGTTCATGGCCGTGTAGCCCTCAGTGTTAGCTTGCTGTATTTCCGGTGTTTCGTGTCTGAAGAGCTGAGGCTAAGCTATATTTAAAAATAATATATTTAAAAGCGAGACCAACATAACAAAGTTAATGTTGCCGACACGCTCAACGTTAAGGCAGTGGCGTCATCGACGTGATTAGAAACCTTGTTTGTTTAACAGCCCCGGGAGAAATGAAGAAAATAATAACATACGGCACGAAAAACAGACTAAAACATTATAATAAAATAATTTTTAAAGTTATTCGTGATGTAGCGTTGCATTATTTTCCTGTAGAAAAGACTTGTTGAATATTATTAATACTTTAGGTAATAAGGTACTTTTTAACGCGTAAAATACAAATGCAATATAAATACGATACTTTCGTTAACGTTTTTTTTTTGACAGGTCTCTGTCCATGGATACAGGTGACAAGATCACGTACTACCACAGGTATTGTATGATTTTTTTTTTTCAGACCTAATGTGGTTTAAAACATGTAGACACCTTCATCCCCTGTAGATTGTGCTATGTACTCAATTGTAATATTCATTTGCGAGAGTTTCGTATTTAACCCTGTTTTTACTGATTTTATATCTTCATTTTATGATTGAAAATACGTTCATGGTAAAAATGATTTATATTTCTGATATTTATATTTATTCAATGTAAAAATAAAAACACGATCTTGATACAAAAAAATGTACTGGAACTATGTATTGTCTCCATCTAAAAAACTAAAAAGATATTATATATATATATAATATATATATATTTTATTATTAATAATATGATAAAAATGTGATATTTGTAAATTAAATTGTAAAAGTTCTAAAAAAAAATTTTTTTTGACACCCTGTATTTTCTAGTGTCTGGTGCACATTTGATCTTTTCAGCTAAAGTTCTTATAATGTGTGGTGTCTAAGGTGCTTTTTTTTTTCCAGATTAATCCAGAACGGAAAAGACGTTGCCAAAAATGGAGACATGCACAAAGCGATTGAGTTCTTCAAACGCGCTCACGCGCTGCACTACAGCGAAAAGCTCGAAAGACGGATCAAGAAAATTGAGGAACTCATCGCCGAGAACGACTCCGAGGAGGAAGACGAAGAGTTCGTCAATGTCAACGACAGCGGGTTGATGCTTTTCAAAGAGCTGCACAACAAGCTCTACGACTACCAGAGGGACGGAGTGGCGTTCCTCTACAGCCTCTACAGAGACGGTCGGAAAGGCGGGATCCTGGCTGACGACATGGGCTTGGGTAAAACCATCCAGGTCATATCCTTCCTTTCTGGCATGTACGACAACGAGCTCATCAAACACACGATGCTGGTCATGCCCACTTCGCTCATCACAAACTGGACCAAGGAGTTCGCCAAGTGGACCCCAGGGATGAGGGTCAAGGAGTTTCACGGCTCCAGCAAAGCAGAGCGGACAAGGAACCTGGAGAAGGTTCAGCGGCGAGGCGGCGTCATCATTACCACTTACACGATGCTCATGAACAACTGGCAGCAGCTGTCGTCGTACAACGGCAAAGAGTTCACGTGGGACTACATGATCCTGGACGAAGCACACAAGATCAAATCAAACACCACCAAAACGGCCAAAAGCGCCTCCGCCGTACCGTCAAAGAACAGGGTTCTCCTCACGGGAACTCCCGTTCAGAACAACCTGAAAGAAATGTGGGCACTGTTTGATTTCGCTTGCCAAGGCACTCTCCTTGGCACGGCCAAGACCTTCAAAACGGAGTATGAAAACCCGATCACCCGGGCCAGAGAGAAGGATGCCACTCCAGGGGAGAGGGCTCTGGGTTCCCGGATGTCGGAGAACCTCATGGCCATAATCCATCCTTATTTCCTCCGAAGGACAAAAGCCGAAGTGCAAAAAAACAAAATGAACAGC